TCTGTTTAGTGGGGCGGTTTCATCCCTGGTCACCTCCAAACAAACCTCCTGACCAGTTCAGAGAAGCAGCTGCAATACTGGCAGCAGTCACGCTGCATCCTGGAGCTAGCTCCCATTCACCAAATGATTTTGGAAGTCATGAGCTTTCATTTGAGTGTTTTACACCCATTTAATTTTTATAGCAGTCGCCTGGTTTTCAGCCTTCGTTTTACATGTGTGCTTGCTAGGCTGGAGACTTAGAAATAGAAATGGTTTGCTTTGGTTGCAAGTGAAAGCTGAGACACACTTCACATGACTCCTGGAGGTGGGAATTTGTAAAGAAAGCTATCACAGATTAGCATCACCCTCCATCAGATTGGTTTTAAAATGGTGTTGCACTGGGGAATGTGGGTTGTATTCCAGTGCATATTTGGTAAGACCGTGGTCTTGTTTGATGGTAGGTCTGTGCTTTCCAGGAGCAGGTAGAGATGTCATGCTGAGGTTTGCTCTGTCGTTGTCGCAGGAGAGGTTGAAGGCGAATGAGCAGCGTGCAGATATGGAAGAGAAGGTGACGAAACGGAGCCTGGACAGTGCCAAATCAGGCCTTTCCTCCTCTGCCCCGGGACTGGTGCACCGAAAACCACCCGTGCTGTCTCCCAGCGCCTCCACGTCCTACAGCAAGGCTGTGAGTCCACCTCCCCTCTCTCCCAGGGCCTCACCCGTGTCTGTGCTCAAAGCTGAGGTGATCCAAAAGATGGAGGAGCCACCTTCGCAGCCAGCCTACTCCTACCCCGCCACCCCCAGCTCCCATCCTTCCAGCCCGCCCCCCGCCTCTCCGCCCCCTGCCCCTGCCATCCCTCCAAAAGAAGAGGCACCCGAGACCGTGGAGAAGAAAGACCTGGAGCTGGAAAAAGAGGCTGCTGGTCCATATCAGGCCTTGTTTCCAGGTAAGAGAGCCCTGCTTTGGCAGAGTCCCGTTGTGTTTGTGCCTGCCTCCCTATTTCTCCTTGGCTCTTTCCTGCTTCCATCCCTTCCCCTAGAGAAAACCATGTAGCTCCTCTAAAAGGCAGGGGAGGGGCAAGGACCAAGGGTGGTGCGATGGACTTGGATGTATGCCTGAGTCTTAGGGACACCTGGGGCTGTAGGCTGTCTTCTTCCCTTGGGTCGAGCCTGGGTTGGTTCCTCCACAGCTGGAGTCTCAGTTGGGAGAAGGATGCAGGAGGCAGATCTGTCTCCAGTTGCAGGAGAGTGCTGGAAAGGTGCAGAAGGGACCTCTGGGGTGCTGATGCCTGTGGCAGCTTGGCCAGGAGAGAGGTGCCCAAAGCAGCTACTGCTTGATAATAGGAAGAGGCTAGAGATGAGGGGAACCCATCTCTGTCCCTTAGCGAGAGCGGTGTTTTGGAGACCCAGCCAATACACCGCCTGTCCCTTCTGATGTCTTGCAGAGATCCCCCCAGGATATCCATTCCAGTCCCTTCCTCCCTCCTTCGGAAGACACTATCCCTACCTCCTCCAGCCCACCGCAGCATCTGATGCGGATGGCCTGGCTCCTGATGTCCCACTGCCTGCTGAAGGCTCTGAGCACATGGAGCTTTCCCCAGAGGTCAAGCCCATCCACCTGTCTCCGTCCAAAATGCTAGAGCCCATCCAAGCAGCAGCAGAAGAGGAGTCCTTGGAAGAGAGGGTGAAATCAGAGGTGCAGATGGAAGAAAGCCAAGAAGGCATCTGTGAACAGGACATGGGGACTCTGAACATTGCCACCTCCGCAGCCGTCCCAGTGCAGAACGTGGACAATTGCAATCTCCTCTTGCATCAAGGCGAAGCCCTGAGTGCTATGGAGCAGGACCAGGAAGACCTCCAGAGCTGCCCACCTCCTTATCAGGTTGTGGCCTGCCCTGCAGAAGCAGAGGCTCAGGCGGAGACCGGGAATGGAGCAGAAACCTGCTCCGTGCACATGGACTATGACGGTTCGCTTGTGCACACAGAGAATGAGCCGTCTGAGATGGACTTAACGTCCCAGCGGGAGGAGGCCTCTGTAGCCATGGATCTGCAGAGCACCGATGTGCCCCGGGGGAGGGAGTTTCCCAACCTGCCCCCTGAGGAGGGGGAGCAGGGGCCAGAGATCCCTTCCTACACGGAAGAGGCAATCTCTTGCCAAATCCCAGCTCTGGACATCAAGCCGGGCGACCCGCTGGCTGGGATGAATGCTTTGGTGGCTGCCACAGAAATGCCTCAGGCTTGTTCCTTGTTGACTACCGCCAGCATCACTCCGTCCCAGATGAAGGTAGAGGTGTTACCTGACCAGGCCTTGGAGCACTCCTTCCTGCAAGGGATCACTTTGCTGAGTGAAATTGCAGAGATGGAGCTGGAGAAAAGGAAGCAAGAAATGCAAAGTAAGTTGTGAGTGCGCTGTCTGGCCAGCCTTGGGCCAGGTTGGGTCTCTCCGCGTACAGCCCCGGCGCATTCTGCGAGGGCAGAGGAGCAGAGCGGGCATCTCTTAGAACCTCAACCAGGCAGCAAGGAGAACATTGCCCTGAATCGAAGGAGCGGCTGGTACTTTGGATGGGGTTGGAGCAGGGGTTTTGTTGCAGTAGGCTGAGCTACGTGTGGCTTTTGTACTGCTCTCCCCCTCCAAAGGCCCTTGCCATGTCTAGACAGTTTGTGGTATGCGTAGCGGAAACGGAGCCCCACTTGCCGAGAGCTGCCAGGGTAACACCCTTCTGGCAGGCACTGAGTCTACAGTCTGTCGGGGTTTGGCACAAGAGGCCCCAGTAGCTCCAAATGATGCTTTCCAAGAGCTTGGCAGGTCCTGAAAAGATCTCACCTTCCAGTAACTTCCTGAGACGAGACGTGATGGGAACTGCCAGTTGCACCATGGCTGGGTACAACAGGAGATCTCAAGTTGGGGCCAAGGGTGGCTGGGAGGCTCCTTGAGCTGCCATGGTCCAGCAAGGGGCATCAGCTTCTCCTTGTGCCTGCTGGAGGAGCAGTTGTGGAGAGTGAACTTCTATAGCTTTTTTTTTTTTTCTGTCCTGAGCAGGTCCAGAGAGTTTCCCTGTCCGGCCAACGCTGGAGAGTTTGCTGGCTGCCAGCACCCACATGCTCATGGAAGTACTTTCCACCCCCTTTATGGAAAGTCTGAAAACCATCCGGCTGCCTCGAGAGCTGAATCCCAACAAAAAGTACAGCTGGATGCAGAAGAAAGATGAACCCGTAAGTAGCTGTTAGCGTGGTTGAGCCTGAAAAGCCACAGTGCATCCACTCGCCGCAGCTTGCTCGTCCAGCCGCAGTTTGCCACCCGGCTTGTGTTGCCCTTCGGCATTCAGCAAAGCGAGCCGGCACTTCCCTCACGTCGCGTTCGTTCGTCGCTGCGCGGGAGTCAGCGTGGTGCGATTTTGTTTCCTCCTTTGTTTGTGAATCAACACCATTGATCTCAGCAGGACCCTCGGCAGCCCTAGAAGTGGTGTTTTGTAATACAAAGCCAGCAGGAACTTGTATGTTACTGCTTTGGCAGAGCGGGGGGGATAAATAAAGATAGGGGCAGGAGGGTTTTTCCTTGTTTTTTCTTTGCTGACTTCCCCATGGGAGCGGCTGACAAATTATTTTGTACTGTGCAAGTAAGTGTTCCAAGACAGGGAATATTTTGATCTGTCTTTTTTAATAGGGGAAAAGAGACTCCATGAGTCTATTTTATCCTGCAGGTTCTTTCCCAGGGCTGCTTTCCCTCAGAGCTAATACCATCCCGTGCATAAGCCCCAGAACATCTTTGCTTGGCTCGTTTTGCTCGGGTACTGCTCTAGGACTGTGCTTGTTGTGGGCGAGGGTGCTCTGCTCCGCTGTAAGCATGGAGGGCTTGGCTGCCAGGCTGCAGCTCTTGGCCATTGCAAGGGCACCCCGACATGCACCACCCCGGTCTAGGTGGGGGCCTGGACATGTTCTGACCTTCTCGCCCCCTCTTGCCTCCCCACCCTAGATGTACTCCATCAAATCGGCCATCGAGAACATGGATGCGATGGAGCTGGACTACAGGATGAGGCTGGCGGAGCTGCAGCGGCGGTACAAGGAGAAGCAGCGGGAGCTGGTGAAGCTGCAGCGCCGCAGGGTCTCCGAGTAAGTGGCAGGGTGCTCACTCGGTTGTTTTGTTGTTTTTTTTTTTTCCAGCTGGGCACTTTCACTGCCTCTTGGTCCGGGAGAGAAAACAGCTCTCCATCCCTCCCTGTTTCCTCTCCTCTCCTCCTGGTACGGCCCGCCAGAGCTTTGCACAGCACACTCCTAGGCTATGTGACACGACAACCTGATCACTGGTGAATGCAGCCGGGAGACCGTATTAGAGACAACCTTGGCTTCAGCAGCTCAGTTTAGCAGTTTGGTGACAGGCGAAGGTTCTGGGTTGGCTCCCGTTCTTGCTTGCTTTCTTTTAATTTTTTTTCCCTTTTTCTTCTTTTTTGGATTTATTTGCTTTATTTTTTTTTTCCTGTTTGTTTTGCTTTTTGGTTGCAAAATTTGATTTTGCTTTTTTTTTTTTTTTCCTTTGCCTTTTTTTTTTTGTTGTTGTTGCCTTGGTTAACAGTGAAGCGTGTGGTTTTTTTAAAGGGAAAAGCATGACGAGAAAAGTAGAAGCTTGGCGAGAAGAGGCCCTGGAAGGCCCAGGAAGAGGAAACTTGGATCAAGCGCTCTGTCACCCATTAAGGAGAGAGGGAAGAGTGACAGCAAGAGTGGAAAGTAAGGCTGGAATTTGGGGAAGACGGGAAAATGGCAGGGTCGCTGCATCAGGGTCTTACGTGGGGAGAGCATCTCGGATGCAGTGGGGTCTCGCCGTGGCGTTGTGTTGGCAGGCCGGTCTCTGGCAGCAGTGGTGTTGTGGAAGCGTGTGCGTTTAACGTGAGTGTGTCCTTACAGTGGGAATATGGTGCCGGCCTCCTCCCTCCCCGCTGGTAGAGCACGTGTCTGTGGTGTTGGGTGCAGGTAGGACAGGCTGAGTTGAGCAGCGGTGAGGTGATGCGGAGCAACTGGCTGGGCAGGGACCTGTAGGTGAGCCCTTGCTGTCAGGGAGTGCGTCCTCGTGTGCTTTCAGGAGAGCGGACGGTGGAAGCGGGTGCTGTAGAGCTAATTGCAGGGCTGTTCCAGGTTGTCTACTTCATAGGGCTTTTCTGTTGTGTTTCTGCTGTCTTCATCTCCTGTTTCCCTTCATCAGTGGGAGTTGGTTTCGCCTGACCTCTTTCTGAATCATTCCCTCTTCTGCTTTTTTCCCTTTTGCAAGTCCAGATGCTCTTGGATGCCTGGATCTCACCACCATTGGCCATCTAACTGTTCAGGGATGGCCAAGTCTCTCCAGTGGGAAGGCACCTCCAAGCTGCCTCCCTGCCTGCTATGTATTTTTGCAAATGTTCTTTCAAGACTACAACTTAGATTCAGGTGCCCAGCTCCCACTGACCCATGTGCTTCTGAAAATCTGTCCTCTCGGTGACTCTGCGTTTTGCTCCTCTTGTTTGGATGGCTAGACAGGCTGGAGGTGTCCAGAGGTGGCTGGAGTTGTGCATGTGTGCATGCATGAGCGTGTTGCGTGTGCATGTTCCCGTGTTGCAGAAATGCTTGAGGAGCCTAGTGTGGGAGATGGAGATGCACCCTCAGGCAGTGTCCAGGGCCTGAGGTGTTGGTTTAGATGTCTGCGGAGGTCAGCGGAGAGGACGGAGGGGTGGGGAAATGCCTGGAAGCTGAGGAGGCTGCCCTGTGTCAATGGCTTTATGGTGGTGGTATGTTCTCAGCCGGCAGGTAGTGTGAAGGAGAGGGCACGAGAGCTTTTAGTGGAGGCTTCTAGAGGTCTTTAGGTGTTGACTGATCTCTCCATCCATCAGTTAGTTTCTGGAGACAGCTGGGGAGCAGTGAAAGATGTGTTTATAGTCTCACACACTTTATTTTTTGTGTTTTTTTTAATTAATTATTTACCCTCTCCTTTCCCCCCAAATCCTGAAGCGAGACTGAAGACGCAGATCACAAATGCCTCTCACAGAGGGTCTGGGCTTGTAAAGCAGATTGCCTGTCCTTTGAGCGAGCCAGTCCCTGCCGTGGCCTTGTCCGCCTGTGCCACCATGTGTGACAGTTCCTTACCACCTCCTTGCTCACACCCAAGCAACCAGAGCAAGTCTCTGGGCAGTGAGGTACCTCCCTGGGCCTCGGGAATCTCTCTCTGCACCTACAGAGTCCATGAAAGTAGAGGTACAGGGCCAGTTCAGGTGTCTATCCTTCCCTCTGCTGATCTGTACCAAATCAGGCACTTTTTGGTGCCTTTCAGGCACTCAAGACACCAAATACTTCCTTTCAGAGACCGCCTTTTAGGTCTCTGATTTCAGGCACCCTCATCTGTGCTGGTGGCCAAGAGCGTGCAAGAAGGGCTCTCTGGCTCTCCTGTTTGGTGGAAAACCTTGTCCAAACTGCTGTTGCTTCACAGTGGACTTGGCTCCCGCTGAGGATCCCCACTGTCCTAGGAGGCATTTAACCTCACTTTTGAGCTTGGTGGGTACCACAGGGAGGAAAGCCCTCCACCTTGACCCATCCTGTGCTTGGCTTGCAGACTGAGCAAGTCTTTGTTGCTCTCCGAAGACTCTGAGACTGGCGAGGGCATGAAGAAGAGGCACAAAGGGGCCCTCCCGGAGGAGGACGAGGATGTGGAGAGCAGCAGTGGCAAGATGAAAGGGAGGAACCAGAGCTGGGAAGAGCACGATGCAGCTCCCAGCTTCTCAAATGAGGTCAGTGCCCTCATGGGGAATATGGCGCCATGGGCCAAAAGCAGATCTCTTTCCTGCTTTGTTAGCGTTGACTTGTGCTGGATAACTCCTGATCTCAGGGCGTCTGCTCTCAGTTCACGTGGGTTTAGAAGCTCTTCATGAGACGACTGTCTGTGCAGCGGAGGGGTGTTTGCAAAGGCTAACGTTGGCTCTCGGAGGTTGGACCTCTTTGGTAGGCAGCAGAGAGGCAAGCGCCTTCAAGCCAGCCAGAGCGTTGCAGTGTTGCACTCGCTTTGAATCCAGAGCAGTGCTTGTCTTACCCCTTTGCCTGTCGAGATAGCGGAGGGGAATGGACTTCCCGAAGCGAGGGAGGAAAGGGAGGGAGCACAACCTCGCTATTTTAAATGCAGGGTTTTCTTCTGCTCCTGTGGAGGCAATGAGATATTTACTGGAGCTTTAAGCTGCTGATGAAATCCAGAATGCATACAGGCAAAGTACTGAGTTACAGCTGCTGTTATCTAGCTGTAGCACATGTAAAGTATATTTGCTTTTTTCAAGAAGCAAGGAAATACTGAAAAGGGTGTAACAGCGCTGGCTGTAATGCAGTGGTGCTGATGCTCCTGCTGAGAGGTATTTGGGTCTTTTTGGCATCCCAGCCTCTGGAGCTGGTTGATTATGTGGAAATCCGTATTTATTTGGCTGGGGTTTTGGGTAAAGAAGATTTTTAATCCTCGTGATTTAGAGAAAAGCTTGTAAAACCAATCCAAATATATCCTAAAAACCAGAAGGTGTTGAGAAAAAAGAACTCCAAAACAAGTTGTTCTACAAACATGTTTCTTTTGGAAGAAAATTCAGGTTTTTTTAAGTTAATCTTGCAATTTTGTAGTTTTCGGTAATGGTAAAGCTGTGCTGTTTGCTGTCATTCCTCTTCCTCCATAGCGCCATCATGGGTTATGGCAACTGGGGCTTAAGACCATCGTTTTGAGGCCTTATTAGCTAGCGTGCATGAGAGACTGTTAACGAGGGCTAGTAAAATCCCTCAGGTCTGCCATGATATCTGCTCTGTATTCACCTATGTCTCTTCCTTTCACCTCGGCAGTTAAAGCTCAAAAAGAAGAAGGTGCCATCGGACCAGGAGCAGCTGGCCAGCAAGCTTGACAAGGCTCTGTCGCTCACCAAACAGGACAAGCTCAAATCCCCCTTCAAGTTTGCTGACAGCTCTGGGGGAAAGCCAAAAACTAGTGGAGGTGGCAGCAGGTACCTCCCACCCCATGAGGCTCTGCCGAGCAAGGAGGAGAAGAAGAGCCTGGCCAAGAACCTGGGCCTGTCACTGAAAACCACCAAGGAAGGTAAAAACAAAGTGGCTGCCAAAATGAAGAAGATGGAGGTGGGGTTAAAAGTCAAAAATCAGCTCAAGGTTTCCCATTCACCAGCAGTATCTGAAGTTAGCAGCTACTCTTATAGTAAGTAACGCCTCATTTATCTCTTCTTACAGTGTAATCTATTATAGGGGCTTGTGGGGGTTTCTGGCCTCTTGGAAGGGGTCTTGGTGATGGGTCTGGTTTTACTCAAGAGTGAAAGGAGACCTCCTTCCTGGCTAATCAATGCTGCTGCATCTTTGGGGTCAGCATGAGTTGTCCATACAACTTGCTGTCCAAGAGGTATCCAATATCAGTGCATCTCTTCCTGGCTTGTGTTGTACTGATTGTCAGTGGGGAAAAATGCTTTAAAAAAGAAAGTGACCCACGTTCTTGCTTTTGGTGGGAGTAGACACTCTCCTTCTACCTGTCAGACGAGTACTCATAGCCTCTGCTCCAGGAGGTGGTTAACGGTTGACTTTTGAAGCCCTTGTTGAATTGGGTGGGATTGACTCTAGGATTATGCCATGGAGTCAGCTGGAGAAGGCAAAGCCTGCCAGGGGGCAGTGATGCTCCATTAGCATCTTCCTACTCTTTGGTGTCGTGGCTTGGTTCCTGGCTGATTGTGCTCAGCCTTCCAATCTGTCTCATCAGTGTTCATCTCCACCCCGGCATTCTGTGTACCGATGGCCATTTCTGAACCCAAAGTGCACCTGAGGCAAAGGTTCCTACAGCTGAGCAGAGCTAGGGACCCCTGTTACAGAAGGAAAAATCTCAATTGCAGATAGTGTCAGGAAGAGAGTAGAACCAGAGGTAGAAGAGGTTTTAATGGTTAAGGCAGACAGTGGGGCAGAGAGCATGTGAGGGACTTGAAATTTATGGTCTGAGGACTGGTTGTATAATTGTCTAAGCTCACTTGCATACGCATCTTTTCCTTTGCTTGCAGCTATTTAAGTCCCATGTTAAAACCCTTATGGGGTGTTTGTATGCATAACAAATGTATCTCTCGGTGCAACACAGGTTTAGAAATTTCACTAATGGGGAAGATGATGAGCTAGTCATTCTCCAACTGAACAAATGTTTGGCATGAAATTAGCCATTTCCGTGGCAAAATAGGAGCCATTGTGTTCACTGGACTTGAACACAGTGTTTGGCTGGTTGTGCTGTACACACCACCCAACAGTTCTGCTCTTGAGCATGCTTCACTCCCAGGGAACAGATGCACGGCTCCTAAACTGGGAGCTCTGGAGCTAATGGGGAGACGATGGGAGACGAGGCATGGGCTGTTGCTGGAGCTAAAAGCCTTGGCTTGTGGCAGAAGGCGCTTTTGCAGTGCCCTTGCACTTGGTACTGTGGTTTCATGAACAAAAACTCCCTCCCAGACCTAAGAGAGCTGCTGTTTCTCACCTCTCCTCTCCAGCAAGTCTCCTGGTGTAGGAATGTGCCCCTTCACCACACAGATCTCAGCGCAGGGGGATCGTTGTTTCTGAGGAACCGACTGAAATGGCTCAGCTTTGGTGTGTGGTTTTTCAGCTGTGGAAAGGGCGTTAGCCTGTCACTTGGTCACCCAAGCATGATGGATTTGGGGAGGCAGGTTGAACATATGGCAGCACCTCCCATGACTGGTGGGCTGCTCTTGTGGAGGAGGAGAAGTGGGATCGGCGCCAGGTCCTTCTGCCTCCTAACCTCATGATTTTCTAGCGGGAGTCCTGAAAACCTTGGGCATAGGTCCAAAGGGCGAGCTGAGCATCCTATTCCCACAGATTTTAACAGAAGTCAGATGCCCAAAATCACTTGTGTATTTGGGCTTTAGGCCTCCTAGATTTGCTGTCCTTCGTTTCTTCCTCTCCACAACCAACGCAGTGGAGGTGGGGAGTGATGCCCAGCCTGGGCTGACACTAGAGAGCATCTGCTGCTGCTCACAGGCTGGAATGGTCCCCGTTGCAATGTTTGTGATGTTGTGGAGCTGATGGGGCGTTCATGAGCCAGGAGGTGACAAGTCATACCTGCTTTTATTGCGTCCAGGGGTACCGTATACCTCTTGTTCCACTCATCAGATGCCAGAGGGGACCACTGGATAACTTCTCACCGTTCACGGGACATGGCAGCTTTGTAAAGCCACCTTTCGCAGACCAAGGAGCGGCTTGGTCCCTGCTCCATTTTGGTGTACTTTATATTGCACACCACAGAGTGTCTGGGGTGGTGTGATAGGAGTTAGACGTGTTGCCCGCTTGGCAGCTGGGCTCACGCTGGCTGCCCATGTTGAAAACCCTCTGGGAGAGTTGGTTCGTTTCGAAAAGGAGATTTAGGTCAAGTGTGTTGAGCATAACCATGGTTAAGGCTCATTCAGGTCGATGGCCTGGTTGTTGGCGTTGTGGCGCCTTTGGTGGACATCTTCTTAGCAGAAACATCTATGTCAGTTTTCTGCTCCTAAGCTAAAAACGCTCCTTGGATCTTGTCTGAAGGGAGGAGAGGAGTCCTTTGGCCTAGGTGGAGAGTGTCTATTTCTGACTGAAAGAAGGAAATACCCATTTCTGTGTCTATTCAGCTCCCACTTGCTGAGCCCGAGACTTGTGATGGAGGGGCCTGGCAGGGGTGGAAAACGGTGGGACACAGCCCCTCCCGCAGCCGCTTTCCCCTCCTGGTTTACAGCCTCTTCACAAAGAAACGCACCAAAGCACCCCCCTAAAAAAACCCCACCCCAAAAAACCCCAAACCCCCATTCTTTCATGTAATGCTCTTCCCACCCGCTTTGACCACAGATACGGACTCGGAGGAGGAGGA